TAATATTCTAGATGCCATTTTTACAAAGCTTTGGCTTTGTGGTTTAAATCGTCAACAATGTATGCCCATGCGGCCCGACGAACCCACCCATAAGTCCACAACTTGGAATTCCGTTGGTCCTTGTGCCTTGCTTTTCTATTCCATTCTTGTCCACACACCAGCAAATACTAAGGGACGAGTGACACTGGACAACATTGTATTCCCCATCTGGCCGACATGTGGGTACGAAGCTTTCAGCAGATGGTATACCCTTCCATCCAAGAGCTACTTGGCGCTCCTTCTGGCACATAGTGAGACCAGCTACAGATGCATAAAAAAAAANTTCCAAGCAAACCCATTCCCCAGGCCTGCCATTTGTCAAGCATTTGACAAGTCCTTCCTTTCCTTCGGTGGGGCATTTGTCATTAGAGGTCTACCCGTGGGGGGAGAATTTTACATGGTCGAGTTCACATTTTTCCAGTTTTCAAAAGGAAACTTTAGGGCATATAAAAGTTACATGACAAAAACTTATCAGAAAAAGATTTGATTACTCAAACCTTGGGTCTGCCCCCGGGAAGGGGCACGCTTAGAATTGATCGAGCCATTACAACTGACAAAATTCGGTCAAGGTGTAAGGCAGACTCAGGATACACTTTGTAATGGTATCTAATAATATTCTAGATGCCATTTTTACAAAGCTTTGGCTTTGTGGTTTAAATCGTCAACAATGTATGCCCATGCGGCCCGACGAACCCACCCATAAGTCCACAACTTGGAATTCCGTTGGTCCTTGTGCCTTGCTTTTCTATTCCATTCTTGTCCACACACCAGCAAATACTAAGGGACGAGTGACACTGGACAACATTGTATTCCCCATCTGGCCGACATGTGGGTACGAAGCTTTCAGCAGATGGTATACCCTTCCATCCAAGAGCTACTTGGCGCTCCTTCTGGCACATAGTGAGACCAGCTACAGATGCATAAAAAAAAAAACAAGTAATTTATGTTGTTCATAGAAAACGTCTCTGCTAGATTGAGATAGTATATAGAGTGTTTTCCATCACGTGGCCAGCATCTATGCAAATTTATTGGAACAAAAGAAAGCGTTTGCATAAGAAAGGAACTCAACTCCCACAGGACTGGTTTGGGACACCAACATGGCCGCCGTTTCATTGTTTTGGGACACCAATATGGCCGCCGTGACGTCATGTGAAAACACTCTAGATGAGAGCGTCAGTTTCTAAAGAAAGTGTGGTGCTGCGTCAGTAGGGAAGTGGAACACAAAAATTCGTCCCTACAAAGGAAAGCAGCGTTCGAAACGTTAGGCTCCCAATCTTTTTACGGTGGTAGATGGACATAATCAGCTCAATTCCTCAATCCAAATGTTTATATTCCAGGTAGTATGGTTTTCTTCTGCCAAGGGTACAATAATGTACATCACCACTTTTGAATTAGACCACGAGTAGTCCCCATTTTCCCTCACGGATAGTAGAGCGAAACGCGAGCGCGCGTGAAAGTCACTTCACGCGAGAAAGGCGAGACGCACCTTTCTCGCGTGAGGTGAGTTTCACGCGCGCTCGCGTTTCGCTCGCTCTACTATCCCTGAGGGAAAATGGGGACTATTCGTAGTCTATTTCATGTCATGCTTCATATTTCTTTTTGTGCCTGCCTCGCAGACGAAATCAAAAACCAAAATAATTCCAAACCTTAATAAACGCTCAAAAATATATACATAATTTTGTTATAACTGCTGCCGCGCGCTTCGCGCGCGCGAGACCTCTCATTATCAATCACTTTTTTTTGCGGTTTTAGCAAATCATATTTCGTTTCTGCAAACGTTATTCCCTCTCTTAACCTTCATTTCTCCAAAAAGATTTGGAGTCGACCGTAGTGAGAAATGAAGAAGGTTGAAAGCAAAGTATTTACCCATAGGTCCGCAATTTGGCTCTCCTGATGTTCGTGTCCTTGGCAACTCTCGACCGTATTTATCCACACACCAGCAAAATGGCGTGCCCTGATGACACTGCACCGAACTGTAACCCCCGTTTACATTACACTTAACCATGGACCACCATGGTCGATCCGGTCGCATCAATTGCTGCGGTAACTTCATTGAGACCACTGGTTGTAATCGATTAATATCTCTTTCTCTCTGACATGTAGTCTTCACACCTGTTTTCATTAAGAAAAAATAAATCAGTAAAGAAAACAGCTGATGTAATTTGCTTGTTCCTTGTTGTAATTATTACTGAGAATGTATCCTCACTGCATTTTTTAATTGTGCATAAAACTAAAACAATCTTTAAAAACGACAGTTCAAAATTGCATTGTTTATCACTGCAAATTCAAATCATGTCTTGAAATACCTGGAGTGGATTTATCTGGACATGGCGACTGTGGAGTTCCATAAGTTTTCGTACCATACAGTTCATTTCCATACTGATCCACACACCAGCAAATACCTCTCTCACATTGCACTGGCTTGTATTCCCCATTATCTGTACATTCTGGTTGAAACTGCCCGGGCCTGCCAGATGCCTGAAGTCTGTCTAGTTGACATGTTGTCAAATTGGCTAAGAATGTAAAACGAAATCAAATCAAATCAAATCAAATTGGCTAAGAACGTAAAACGAACGTTTACTAACAAGGGTAGCCTGAAATCTGACTGGCAAAAAAATTATTCTTGCTGTGTTTTCACACCACTGCCACTTTTTGAAACAAAGGCTGTAACCAGACTAACTCAATATGTTTTCGTTCATCATTGTGTGTGAAGTTCGATGCAAATTCCTCCAATACAACTGCATTATGTAGGAGTTGGTCTTAAATTGAAAATGCCTCCTCCACAATTTCTAATTCGTTTGAAACTACCATTCTTGAAATTGTACTCCAAAGTACTTCGAGACATGAACTATTTCTGAGTTAACAGACCTACAAACCTTTATCAGTGCAGGAAATCTTGCCAGTGGAGCGAGTTCTGGGAATAGGTTTGCCATTTTCATCTACACACCAGCAGAAGTCTCCAGATGGTGCACACTGGACAGGTTTAAATTCACCGTCATTTTTACACTGGGCTACAAATCTACCAGGTGAAGCTGACCCAGACCAAGCCAGAGAAGCTAGCCTTTCCTTCTGACATGGCTTCAGTCCAGCTTTATGTAGTAAGAGGAAAACAAGTCAAAAAAAGACTTTGCAAAAAGCAACTACTTTCATTCCTCTATCTAAGCAGCCTGAGTAATCGTTTTTTGGGCTGGATGAACGGACGTTTGCTAAATATGCTGGATGTCCTGTTTGTTTTAATTTTGTAGGTATTTTGTTGATCTACCGTTATAATTTTATAACTACTATTTAACCCTTTCAAATTCGTCGGCATATGCAAACTTTACGAGAAAAAAAATAAAACAGTAACCCTTTGAGCTTTACATCATTAAGCAATCACACATACATAGTTTTGATATCAACTTCCAATCGTAAACTCACTCTAATAAATTTGCCCATTTTAAAAAAACAAATTTTGAAGTAGTACATTAAAAGCTAGAGTAGCTCGAGACGTATCCTCCGTCGTGCTTAGCAAGCCCCTGAGTGCATCCATAACTCAATGGTTGCACGCTACACGTTTACCATTTCTTAAATGGAAAAACATATTCTAAATCCAGCCGGCATGTATGGCATATTTACCAGAAAAGTGACGTATTTGTATTCCTTACATATAGTTAGATAAAATAAGGAGAAAATGCTAACCATCAACACCACAGTAAGGTACTCCTTTGGTCTTTGTCCTCGGTAGCTCATTGCCGTATCGATCAACACACCAACATTCTCCAAGTGATCCGCACTGCACTTTGCGGTAACCTCCATAGCTGTCGCACAGCGGTACAAAGCGAGTGAATTGGAAGCGCGTTTGTTGAAATAGTGCACCTTCCATGCTTTCCATTTCACAAACAGTCTTTTTCTCAGCTGAATACGAAAAGAAGGGCAAGGGGAAAAATTAAATGCCATGATGTTACGCCGTTGGTGTTAAAACGATCACGCTCGCATTCATTAGGCAATGTTAACAAAACATTTCCTGGTAACTGCCAAGAAGAATGGCCGTAATATTTGGAAATTACCTTGAACAGTAAGGTCGAATATCCATTTTATTCATTACACAATATCAATCACTAAAAGCACGACTAGTGATTTATCCTTAGCAGGATAGACCTGCAATTTACGTACCTATTTCGGAACAATTTGGCTTTCCCCTTATTCTGGTACCCCAGATCTCATTTCCTCTTTTGTCCACACACCAACAGTACCCGGTGGACTTATGACACTGTACTGGCTTGAAACTCTCATCCTGATTGCACTCCGGAGAGAAGACAATGTCCGAGTCTGTAGACCATACACTAGCTCGCACTTGGTCCTGGATACACAGGCTCGTCTCGTCTACAAAAAAACGTTATATACCGTCACACTCAATTAAATTACAGCTTCTTTTCAATAAAGGGGGATAAGGTCAGAGTTCTACCTTGGTGATGAAAGTTTAAGTGTCACCCTGGTATTAGCTAAACAGCAAAAAAGGAGAGCAGACATTCAATACTAGGCCTTCCAATATTGAACCTTACCTACATAAACTACTCTTTGTTTACCTGATAGTTTGGAGCAGTCTGGTTTCCCGCGAATTTTCGTGCCGCTATATCTGTAGCCTTCACTGTCACTACACCAGCAGTATCCAGATGAGGCATGGCATTGAACTGTCTCATACTTTCCATCTGTTTTGCATTCGGGGACGAATAGTCCGGGTACCGAAATGTCATTCCATCCCAAGGCAAACTGGCGTTCACGAAGACAGCGAGGTAGCTTACCTAAATGGTGAGATGTTACGTTACCCAAGTAAGTATAGTTCAAGAAATTGTACAATTATATTTCATGAGAGAATGATACGTGTCTTTTCTAAGTGCCGCTTATCATTTCAGTTGCCTCTTACATTTGTGGTCAAAGGGTATGAAATCAACCTTACCTTCTTCGAAGCAAAGCGGTGGGCTGCCTTGTTTGCGTGTTCCTCGTATTTCTTGACCTTTCTTATCTACGCACCAACAGAAACCAGTTGATCTATGGCACTGGAGACGCTCGTACTCTCCAGTACGCTTGCAATCCGGTACGAAACGCCCAGGTGGTGGCACTGTATCAAGACCAAAGGCCTCAAAACGTTCTTTCAAACATCGAGTCAAACCAGCTGCCGAAGAAAACGTTAAGTTATGTTGCATTCATAACGTGAAAGTATTTTGTTTCTGTGAGTCTGTTTCCCTCAGAAAAGCAGATAATCGATTCTGTAGCTTAGTATAAAGCAACGTACCTGTGTGATCACATAGTGGTCTTCCTTTCTGCCTTGTACCTTGCCACTCGTTTCCATTCTGGTCGACGCACCAGCAGTATCCGGTTGAAGGATGGCATTGGACGCTTTCGTATGAGTTGTACTTTGAACAGGTTGGGATATAACGTCCAAATGGAAGAATCGCAAGAGAGAGATCCTTTCTCTTCCTCTGACACAACGTTAACTTGAAGCCTGAAGTAAATAAAAAACTAGGAATGTTGAAAAAACGTGTACATTCCTACAAGATTACGCCGTATTCTATGGATATTTTGAGGTTCAATTTTGTCCAATGTATTGCAATGTACAATGACGACTTTAAAGGAGTGGAAAAATAGTCTAAAATGTAAACCAAAGATAAAATTATAGTACAACAGATAAATCACAGCTTCGAACAGTACAAAATGCTCCAAGTCCCTTTCGTGTGATAATTTTTCAAAAATGTATTGATTATAACAGCATGTCCCAAATGCTTTTGAGGATGTAGAACATACAGCAGTAAAATATCTTTGACAATCTTACCAACGTTATTGCAGTCTGGCGTTCCATCCTGCCTCGTTCCATAAAGTTCGTTTCCGTACTTGTCAACGCACCAACATTGCCCCAACGCAGGATGACACTGTACTGGGTCATACTTTCCAGCATCGGTGCACTTGGGTATGTACCTGCCATTTGCGGGTTGAGTGCCCAGTGCAAGAGATCTTGCTCTGTTTAACAAACACCTTGTTGGTTTTTTTCCTGGAAGTCCTATTCCTACCACTGGAAGAGACAAAAAGTTGAAAAATGACTCCTTCGTACGTACAGGAACTCAGTTCACGATACTAGTATTGCGTCCTAATGCAACACAGTCAATAATTAAACTCATCACCCAACCCACTGTCGTCATTTGGGTAATCAGATTGCTCAGTTTATTCGAATTTACTCGGGTTGCCAGTGTGAAGGTCAAATAATTTCGACAGATGGACTACACTCCCCCTAGCGGACGGTTACCTAAAAAAGCATTGCTTATTTATATTCTCAGAAATTCAAAATCACAGTTTGATTTGTTTTTCTTTACCAAGGCATTCGTCCTCTGGTTTGCCACTTTGCACCCGCGTCCCAGGGATTTCTTTTCCATTGTCGTCGACACACCAGCAGGGGCCTCCCGACTTCGAGCACTGAACAGGCTTGTATGATCCATCTGAGTTGCATTCTGGTACAAAAACTCCATCCTTTGGTTTGCTGTCCCATCCAAGAGCTAGGCGCCGCGCCTTTTGGCACATGGTTTGTGGTGCTGTTATAGGACTTGAACAGTAAGGTCGAATATACATTTTATTCATTACACAATATCAATCACTAAAAGCACGACTAGTGATTTATCCTTAGCAGGATAGACCTGCAATTTACGTACCTATTTCGGAACAATTTGGCTTTCCACTTATTCTGGTACCCCAGATCTCATTTCCTCTTTTGTCCACACACCAACAGTACCCGGTGGACTTGTGACACTGTACTGGCTTGAAACTCTCATCCTGATTGCACTCCGGAGAGAAGACAATGTCAGAGTCTGTAGACCATACACTAGCTCGCACTTGGTCCTGGATGCACAGGCTCGTCTCGTCTACAAAAAAACGTTATATACCGTCACACTCAATTAAATTACAGCTTCTTTTCAATAAAGGGGGATAAGGTCAGAGTTCTACTATGGTGATGAAAGTTTAAGTGTCACCCTGGTATTAGCTAAACAGCAAAAAAGGAGAGCAGACATTCAATACTAGGCCTTCCAATATTGAACCTTCCCTACATAAACTACTCTTTGTTTACCTGATAGTTTGGAGCAGTCTGGTTTCCCGCGAATTTTCGTGCCGCTATATCTGTAGCCTTCACTGTCACTACACCAGCAGTATCCAGATGAGGCATGACATTGAACTGTCTCATACTTTCCATCTGTTTTGCATTCGGGGACGAATAGTCCGGGTACCGAAATGTCATTCCATCCCAAGGCAAACTGGCGTTCACGAAGACAGCGAGGTAGCTTACCTGAATGGTGAGATGTTACGTTACCCAAGTAAGTATAGTTCAAGAAATTGTACAATTATATTTCATGAGAGAATGATACGTGTCTTTTCTAAGTGCCGCTTATCATTTCAGTTGCCTCTTACATTTGTGGTCGAAGGGTATGAAATCAACCTTACCTTCTTCGAAGCAAAGCGGTGGGCTGCCTTGTTTGCGTGTTCCTCGTATTTCTTGACCTTTCTTATCTACGCACCAACAGAAACCAGTTGAGCTATGGCACTGGAGACGCTCGTACTCTCCAGTACGCTTGCAATCCGGTACGAAACGCCCAGGTGGTGGCACTGTATCAAGACCAAAGGCCTCAAAACGTTCTTTCAAACATCGAGTCAAACCAGCTGCCGAAGAAAACGTTAAGTTATGTTGCATTCATAACGTGAACGTATTTTGTTTTTGTGAGTCTGTTTCCCTCAGAAAAGCAGATAATCGATTCTGTAGCTTAGTATAAAGCAACGTACCTGTGTGATCACATAGTGGTCTTCCTTTCTGCCTTGTACCTTGCCACTCGTTTCCATTCTGGTCGACGCACCAGCAGTATCCGGTTGAAGGATGGCATTGGACGCTTTCGTATGAGTTGTACTTTGAACAGGTTGGGATATAACGTCCAAATGGAAGAATCGCAAGAGAGAGATCCTTTCTCTTCCTCTGACACAACGTTAACTTGAAGCCTGAAGTAAATAAAAAACTAGGAATGTTGAAAAAACGTGTACATTCCTACAAGATTACGCCGTATTCTATGGATATTTTGAGGTTCAATTTTGTCCAATGTATTGCAATGTACAATGACGACTTTAAAGGAGTGGAAAAATAGTCTAAAATGTAAACCAAAGATAAAATTATAGTACAACAGATAAATCACAGCTTCGAACAGTACAAAATGCTCCAAGTCCCTTTCGTGTGATAATTTTTCAAAAATGTATTGATTATAACAGCATGTCCCAAATGCTTTTGAGGATGTAGAACATACAGCAGTAAAATATCTTTGACAATCTTACCAACGTTATTGCAGTCTGGCGTTCCATCCTGCCTCGTTCCATAAAGTTCGTTTCCGTACTTGTCAACGCACCAACATTGCCCCAACGCAGGATGACACTGTACTGGGTCATACTTTCCAGCATCGGTGCACTTGGGTATGTACCTGCCATTTGCGGGTTGAGTGCCCAGTGCAAGAGATCTTGCTCTGTTTAACAAACACCTTGTTGGTTTTTTTCCTGGAAGTCCTATTCCTACCACTGGAAGAGACAAAAAGTTGAAAAATGACTCCTTTGTACGTACAGGAACTCAGTTCACGATACTAGTATTGCGTCCTAATGCAACACAGTCAATAATTAAACTCATCACCCAACCCACTGTCGTCATTTGGGTAATCAGATTGCTCAGTTTATTCGAATTTACTCGGGTTGCCAGTGTGAAGGTCAAATAATTTCGACAGATGGACTACACTCCCCCTAGCGGACGGTTACCTAAAAAAGCATTGCTTATTTATATTCTCAGAAATTCAAAATCACAGTTTGATTTGTTTTTCTTTACCAAGGCATTCGTCCTCTGGTTTGCCACTTTGCACCCGCGTCCCAGGGATTTCTTTTCCATTGTCGTCGACACACCAGCAGGGGCCTCCCGACTTCGAGCACTGAACAGGCTTGTATGATCCATCTGAGTTGCATTCTGGTACAAAAACTCCATCCTTTGGTTTGCTGTCCCATCCAAGAGCTAGGCGCCGCGCCTTTTGGCACATGGTTTGTGGTGCTGTTATAGGAATCAGGATAGATATTGACATGTACAGCAACACACCAAATTTATCATGTCGTGGTTTGGCTTACTATATGATACGAAACTCGCAAATCAATGATCAACAATCACTTACAATCAACTTTTTTTTGTATCACGATTAAAACTAGAGGGCATCAAGAAATTATAATGATATATGCAAATCTAAAATGAAACATTCTTGTAACATAGGGATTTAATCCAAGCAAATATAACATGACTTACTTTGAATGGAATATTGTTCATGACATTTTTTGGTCCAAACCGCCCTCATTCTAATGAATGTTTTAAGTTAAACGTCCCAGTCAAGTACTACGCCTTCTGTTACACTGTAATGTGATTTAAAACTTAATTATATACTGGTTTTGTTTTACGTAGTACATTCAGTGCCGATTTTAGACGATCGATAACGGCCATGTATAAGTATCAGTTGTAGAGATGCATGTTGTAACAAGGGTCAACCACATCAAGCTTTTTCCTCGCACTTAATTAGTATAAGCTCATTAAAAATCCTCCTACCTGATTCAGGGACGCAAGAGGCTTTTCCAGAGACCCTAGTGCCTAACAACTCTTTCCCGTCACTGTCCACACACCAGCATCTTTGTCCACCACCTATATCCTGGACACACTGCATATTTTCGTATGAGCCATCAACCTTACATTGTGGTATAAAACGTCCAGCAATAGCTTGGTTGGTGTATCCCAAAGCCCTCCGTAATTCCTTTAGACAGGGTGACAGGCCAGCTGTACATGAAAAAAATGTTTTAACTTCTTAATGCGAGATGAATGAAGTGCTCTCGATCTTCCAGTTCATGCAAACTAAAACAATTCTTCAATGACGACCTGAATGAGTGCTTTGTACTTCATAAGTAGTTTGCAATAAGTATATGTAACTTTGTTTAACGTATCAGGGGACCATTTCTATTTACCAACTTTAAGTCATCCTCGCTAGCCACAATAGTAAACCGTCTAATTCCTGCGAAAATCAACTGCTTTCCTACTTTCCATCATTTAGGATCAAACGCTCAGAAAGGGCTGAAAAGTTAGAGTTTTTTTTTGCACATTTGCAGGGCCCAGTTGTTTGAAGGCCGATTAACACTTTTATTTTTCCTTTGTTCAAAAGCATATTTTTCCCCGATATATTTTCGCTATTCTTTCTATAGCATACAATCATCAAGTTAAGAGTTGTACACAAAATGAATCAAACTTCATTTGCTGTTTGAGAATTCAAATTTCACCCTTGATCTGGGTTATCTTTACCCAGCTTTAAGCAACCCAGCCATGATGTGGCGTTAAGCCTCAGACAGGGGATCAATAGTAGTTACGTTAGGTGTATTTATTTAACTAAGTCAATCCATCTTATTTAGTACCATAATTTTGAATCGTACCAGGTGCATCGCAGTACTGTTTGGTTCCCCTTATTCGCGTTCCTGGTTCTTCATTCCCCAACTTATTCACACACCAGCATTCGCCAATGCCGTCGTCGCACTGCATTCTTTCGTAGCCACCAGCTGGGTTACATCTTGGAACGAACGAGTTACCATTTCCATTTAGACTGAGGGCCGTGTTTGCCAATTGCTGTTCCTTGAGACATTTTGTTGGACCTGGAAAATGTAAGCATTTAGTTCCCTGATTAACTATTCCGCGCTACAATTTTTACATTGCTCTTTCCCAACAAAATCAGAGAATACTGGACATATAGTAAAGAGATATATGACTTTCAGCAGCGTAAACAACCGCCACTGGGCATTGATAATGCCTTTATAGCAACGAACCGCTCACCATAGTAGAGCACAGTACGAAACAGTATCAGGCTTTATGCTTAATTATCATATCAGCGACGCAAATGCA